CCACCTGGATGCAGTCCTGAGTAATGTGCTCTAGGGGATCCTGCTTTAGGAGATTTGGACTAGGTGATCTCTAGAGGTCCCTTCCAGCTCTGACAATTCTGGGATTCACTAAACTGGGTATCACTTTCAGTTACAAAAGGTCAGCTAAAACTTGTATTATTCTCTGTTGAAACTCCTAATTATTCTGCTGGTCATCCTACAACTCTAATATAGTATATGATTAAAATAAGTTACAAGTATTTAAATTAGACAAGTATGCCCTTTACATACCTTCTTTTGTACAGTAGCATAACAAGATCTCTGAAGCATTAGCGAAGTACAACAAAAATCACATTCTAATGATAAAATCATTTCCTAGGGATTATAGTAATATGTTACATTCACAGCCAGGAAGGTCATGAGAGCTCCTCCTGTACAGATCAGTTTGTTGTTGATACTGATTTAATGTTATTCTGCAGACATTCAATAAAAGTACGTGCTTGGAAACACTGGGTTGTGCCTTTCCAGTGCTGTTGTGGAATGGCAAGACCAGGACACCAGCACTAGTTGCATCTTTACTAGAAAATAAAATGTTCCTGATCAATGGCACCCAATTGCTCTTATGATAAAATTCCTAGGAAAGACCCTGGCATGGTTTAGACCAGTGCAGAACTGAGTACACACAATTCCTGGCTACATTTCAGGTGTTAGCATGGGACACAGACTATTTCTGATAAGCAGATTGCATGAGACTACTGTGCTTTGAAAACAATGGGAGTTCAATAATACAAGTGTGGGCTGTACCACTCTATTTAGACTCCATGCTAAAGAATACACCTAGGCACATTTCATTTACTAATATAGCCATAGCCAGCACATACTGTTATGATGAAACACGAGTCAACTACCCAGGGACTTCATCAGGAGAACTTGTAAATTGCCAGAAATGAAAAAAAGTCACTGAAATCTCATATGTGTTGTGTGCAACAGCTTAAGGGATTCACTGAACTAATACTTTGAACAGAATGCTCTGAATGTGGCTAAGTTGGCACCGTATTGCTACCTCACCATTGTGTTCAAACAAACATAATGTTTACTGGGAGAGTAGGAAGCATTCAGAAGAAGTGTGTATATATATATTATTTTTTTCTTTTTTTCTTGCAGTGCAGATTAATAGTATGTATATATTTTTGTCATGAAGAAAAGCAGAGAGAGTAAAAATAGCTCTCAAGTGAGAGAGGTGCTATTCACTCCTCTGTTCCTGGAACTGTGACAGCCATTATATAACCAAAAGGAAAATTAAATTAAATAAACAGTATAAGCTCATTGCGTTGGTATCAAGTAAAAATATAAATAGTCAAAGTGTTTTGTGGCAAAGGTGCTAACCACATGTGGCTGTTCTTTAGCCTTAGTGATGAACAGGGATCCTGCCATGTGTTTGAAACTTATTTATCAACCATTTCCATGGAAACACACAGATGCACAATCCTTGGATCACTTATTTCAGGAATTGCTGCTTCCAAGGTTCACTCTGGAGTGAGAACTCAGACCAGGAGAGAGTGACAAGCTATGATTCTGATCTAGAAACCTCCCCCCACAGATATTCATTGGGTCTCACAGTAGGAGAATATGCATGAGGGAAAGA